CCAAGCTCCATCAGAATTCCCCGTCACGCGTCATGAGCATAACCGCGATCAGGCGAAACACAAACCGTTTCTTCTCATCTTTCTTCGTCTGCGCGCGCGCGGCACGAAAACTTTAAAAGCCTCTTAAGTATAAATCCGAAGCTTCTTTCTGCAATGCTTATGTTCTGTCTATCAGCACGAGCCGTTTAAGGAACGCACTGTATTTTCGCGTTGATGGATCGGTTCACAATAAATGTTGACACTTTATTAATATAAAAAGTATATTATGGTATAAAATAAAGTATATCTCATAAGAGTATATCTTTCACATAAATGATGCACGCGAATGTGTTTTTGATTCACAATTGACAATGTTTTAAAACGCCTGATATCACAGTTTTGTGTAACGGCGAACACCCTGAGCCTATGTGCGGCAACGCCTGGGGGTTTCGCCACGTATGTCACTATATAATGGGCAGACACCCTGAGCCACTATGTGCGGCAACGCCTGGGGGTTTCGCCACGTATGTTAATATGTAATGGGCAGACACCCTGAGCCACTATGTGCGGCAACGCCTGGGGATGTTGCCTAACTCGCGGACGGACACGACTACGCCTGAGGCCGTCGCCTGGGGTCGTTACAACACACTGCGCTTTTCGTGTAAGGAAGCAAGTTTTCAATTCACGGCTTTGAGACAACTAATTTTTCCGACCGTTCTCCACGAGTTCCAGATCGAGACTGAGTTCACCGCGCGCCTTCCCCTCGTTTTCTCCTCGTCCAAATACCGAAGAGCAAATAGTAAATCGGCGATCTATCGTCAAATACACACGTGCGCCGCGGCTTCTATTGTCTCCGCGACGATAAGCGACGAGACAGTCGCCCGAAAGACGAGACATTCGTCTGGAAGTATATGTAATTAGGGGCGCGGAATAATACAAAAATCCATTGAAACCTCGGCTTCCTTTGATCATATGTATGGCCTTGTAATGTATATATATATATATATATGCGCAAATGTGTTGTCCGTCCAACGTTTTCTTTTATATGTCGTGCACGACTGTTAGACGTATAACAGACACGATGTTGCTGCTATAACAATTGAGCCAATGACGGAAAATGTAATTATTGATCATGATGGGATACGTGATTTTATAGAAACTCGTTATGTTGGACCAGTAGAAGCTACTTGGCGTATTCTTGAAAAAAAGCTACAAGATAAAAGTCATACTATTATGCGTTTACCTGTGCATCTTCCTAACGAACAAAATGTTATAATTGAAAATGAAGCCATTGAAGAAGCAATGATTTCTGCTTTAAATCAAGTTACGATGTTAATTGATTATTTTTCATTAAATTTTCGCGATGAAGAAGCACGAAAATATTTATATGTAGAGATTCCACGCTATTATACGTTTAAGAAAGAGAAAATTAATGGAAGAAATGTATCACATTGGGTTAAACGTAAAAGTCATTATAATTGTATAGGACGAATGTATTCCGTTAGTCCAACACAAACAGAATTATTTCATTTACGACTATTATTACTCACTGTAAAGGGAGCTAAGAGTTTTAATGATTTAAGAATTGTAAATGGAGAAGTATGTCAATCATTTTCAACAGCATGTTTAGCATTAGGTTTGATTGAAAATGATGATGAATGGAGACGAGCGATGAATGAAGCTGTTGGATGGATGATGCCTAGACAACTTCGTAGATTATTTGTACGTATATTATTACATTGTCAACCACTGCATCCTGAAGAACTTTGGGAAAATTTTAAAGTAGCAATGTCAGAAGATTATATACGACACTTTGGAATATTACAAGGACAACAGAAAGCTTATGCACAAATTGGTGTTTTGCTTTCTGCTGAGGGTAAAAGTTTCACTGATTTTCCACAAATGGAACAATTGATAGAAAATTATGAGGAAAATTATGTAATACTTGAAGAAGCTATGGAAATTGGTACGAAACAATATAAACAGTTAAATAACAAGCAGAAAGAAATAGTAGATTTTATATTAAATAGATTAGATAATATTAATCACAATAGTAATTGCTTTTATATCGATGGTCCAGGTGGTTCAGGTAAAACATTTACATATACAACTATCTATTACTTAGCCAAAATTCATAAAAAACGTATATGTACAATGGCTTTTACAGGTATTGCAGCAACGTTATTACCAGCAGGAAAAACGGTTCATAAAACTTTTGGCTTACCAGTTCCATTATTTGCTGATTCATCATCTAGCATTAAAATCCAATCCAAAGAAGCTCAATATTTAAAAGAAACTGATATTTTTATTTGGGATGAAGCGCCAATGGCACCACGATATGCTATAGAAATTATGGATCGAACATTGCGTGACATCATGAATAATAATTTACCTTTTGGTGGAAAAATTATCATATTAGGTGGTGATTTTAGACAACTTCTTCCTATTAAAATACATGGTACTCGAAGTGAAATCGTGAATCTTTCCATCAAGTTTAGTTACGCTTGGAAATACTTTGTGAGTTTTTCTTTAACGGAAAACATGCGAGTTCTTTCAGAAGAAAATGAATTTGCAAAGTTTCTATTGAATTTGGGAGATGGCATATTAAATGATTCTAATGATAATATACAGCTTCCAGATAATTGTATTACATCTATAAATAACAATATTGCAGAAGATATATATGGTGATCTAATACGAAATAAAGAATTTAATAAAATGGCGAATTGTGCAATACTTTCTGCAAGAAATAAAGATGTAGATGAAATTAATAAACAAGTTGTCGAATTATTAGATACATTAGAAGAACGAATTTATACAAGTATAGATAGTACTCAAAATTGTAACGATGAGATTAATGAAGTTATACTGCCAGAATATTTAAATAGTTTATCTCCATCATCTCTTCCTCCTTATGAATTACGTTTAAAACCAAATTGTATCATTATGTTGATAAGAAATCTAAGTATCTAAGTATCTAAGCGACGAGGGATTGTTTGTGCGTGAGATAATGCGTGCGGAAGTCGGATTTACTTGCGATCTTGTCGACGAATGTTCTCGATCGCCTCTTTCGTGCTTTTCGTTGCGATCGAGCACAGTGGAATCGCGAAGTTAGCCGCGTTCGCGGAATATCGGAGGCTAAATGAGGTGAGAATCTTGCGTTTTTTTTCGACCCGGCTCGTCGAAATTATGTGAATATATATTTTCGTGCGTATATTGAGTCTCATGTGTATGTGTAATGTGCTTCAGGTGCAGTAAAGGGAGAAAACGAAAGCGGAGGATGCCTAGCCAATGGATCTTCAAAGTGTCCAGCAACGGCCGCGAATGAACTTTCTGTCTTCACCGTTCGGACACAAAGGCAAGCCTGAGTAATTGGATTGGATTTGTCAGGTACGCATTCCATTTTTGACTCATTATGCGCCGTCTTGGCATTCGAGATCGTATTTTAGGCAGTAGATCATGCAGTCCATCGAAAATTGTGCGCGTTGTGACGCTGTTTTACGGGGTTCACGCGATTCGTAGCACGGCTGCACGCGCAAACGTAGAGCGTCTTTCGTCGTCACTTTCGTCAATTCAAACGCGCGAGTACGACAAGTTAAATATTTGCGATGCTTGTTCGGGACAACGACGCGGAATTGATCGTGCGTAAAACAATGCGTGTGGCAGTTGAACTGGTTCTTTTAAACGTAATTAATAATTATTCGCATGGGGTATTTTTGATATTCCAACATTATGTCTCAATTTTTATTATTCCTCTTATTGATTCATATTTAAATAAAGGTTTATAGAATATTCTGTATATGTTCTTTATATGTATTACTTGCATGGTTCTTTTAAACGTAATTAATAATAATTCGCGTGGGATATTTTTCATATTCCAACATTATGTCTCAATTTCATTATTCCTTTTGAAGTTTCATATTTAAATAAATGTTGATAGAATATTCTATATATGTTCTTTTTATAAAAACACATTCTAAAGCAAAAATATTTTAAGGAAAAATATGTTTCAATATCTTCGACATTCTAAGCTACAAAAGAAAAAATCATTCAAGTGTTGGCTGCTCAAAAAATTTAATTATTTAGTAACTCGAAAATTATATTTTTGTAATAAGCAGAAGAAACTATGTCAAAGGTTGGACAATATATTACATTAAATAAATTATTAAAAATTACGTCTCCTTTACATGATAGTTGTCGAAACTTTCTAGTTTCGTCGTTTAAAGATGGAAAAAGTGGCGTCAACTGGATAAGTTTTTAAAAATAGTTAAAGTCAATGGTCAATAAGAGTCTCGAGGTACATCTATGTATAAATATAAATAAAATTAAATTGAAAAAATGTATTGTACCGAAAAAACGGAGTCAAGGTTTAAAAATGCATATTATACGTAACAACATATATCTGTTTTCAATTTCCACCATTTATCGACAAGCTTTTGCTCTGACAAGAAGCCCTCTCACCGTTTTGGACATATCTTTCTACAGATTCTGTCTATTGAATCTATATTTTGGAAAATTAAATAAGTTTTTAAACATTGACTCCGTTTTTTATTACTGCAATAATAAAATGCATTGTTTAAAATGTAAATGCAATATATCTTCAATTTATAGCTATTCATGCTTATTAAAAAACATAATTTTCGGGATACTAAATAATTAAGTTTTTTGGACAACCAACACTTGAACGATTTTTTCTTTAGTCGCGAGAGTAATCACTAGCTGAAATATTGTCCCACATATTACATGACATATGATTTCATCTGA